CTTAAAGAACTCCTGTTCCGGTTAAACCCAAATATCCACCCACTCTGTGCCCCGCAGTTGAATATTGTTGACGAAAAATACACAAATTTTCAAACCCTGTTTACTCTCATCTTTCCTCCTACTTCATTCTATACTTTTTCTTTCTACTACCAAAATTTCCATTCTGATAATCTTCCTTCCTTCCAGATACTATTCGTGAAGCACTTACTCTTACCGAAGGACAGCTCCTCATTTTATTCTGAATTTCAGTTCATGTGTCCTTCTCAAAGACACACTTCTATAATGTTTTCCTTTCTCTCCTGCTTCATTAGTCTCTCTTTCTTCTCTAATTATCCCTTTTTAGTGCTCCAGCATGCTCTACTACTCCTGTTCAAACAAAACACAGTCCATGCTCAATCCCTTCAACCTCTCCATGATTATTTCATTTCTTTGCTTCCTTTCACAGTTCAACTTTCTGAAAGCATTGCCTTTGGTCACTGACTCCCAGTTCACTTCTCAGCTCCTTCTCAGCCAACTCCATTAGGCTTCTGCCCCCATGGTTTCATGGAGACTGTGCTTCTCTGGGTCACTGAGGGCCTCCCTGTTTCATCCCAATGTTCTTTCATTACTTCACTTCCCTGCAGCATTCACAAAGTTGAACTGTCCTTCTTTAACCACTTTCTTTGCACATCCTCCTAGAGACATCCTCGTGGTCTCTGCTATCACAATGGCTGCTCCTTCTCCGTCATCTTTTTTGACTCTTCTCCTTAATTCAAACTCTAGATGATGGAATACTCCAGGCCTGTGTTCTGGGTTCCCTTTTCTTGTGTCACTCAATATGCTTTTCAAAGTTTCCTCCTTCAGTCATTCGGCTTCAAATAGAATTACTCCCACATATGTCCTTAGGACCTTTCCCCATATCTCAGGATTAGAAAATACAAGCGCCTGTTTCACGTTTCCATGTGGAGTTCTAATTTCTTCTTAAATTTAAAATGGCAAAAATAGAAATATTTATTTTTCTTCTAAAGTGGTCTCTCTCTCCAGTCATCCTCATCTCATTAAATTCACATATAAGCACATATTTAAATACAATTACCAAGTGATTGCTATGTGCCAGCACTGTTTTAACTGCATTACAAATGTATCATTTAATCTCCAATATTTTGCAATCTTGGTCTTCCTTCCTTCCTTCCTTCCTTCCTTCCTTCCTTCCTTCCTTCCTTCCTTCCTTCCTTCCTTTTTTCTTTCTTTCTTTCTCTCTCTCTTTCTTTCCTTTCTTTCTTTCCTCTTTCTTTTTCTTCCTTTCTCTCTCTCTCTTTTTTCTCTTTCCAATGCAGAAATTGAGACACTGATGGGTTAAGTATCTTGCCCAGAGTCCCATAAGTGATAAGCAGTAGAACCAGGATTCAAAGCTAAGTATTCTGTCCCTAAAGACTGTATTGTGATTTTTGTCTCTATGAGATACCGCCTGTAAATGTGTTTATCTTATTTACCAACTTTCTGAAGTCATTTTGTAAATTTATGCTGTACAGTCTAACTTCAAAATTTATGCTTTATATGGATCATTAAATTCCCTAACGCTACTAGTAAATCAAGCTACTATTCTCTTTCATATGGTAGATTGCAATAGGTTTCTTACTCTTCTCCCTGTTTCAATACTGCAATTCCACAATTCATTCTCAATATGCAGTCACAGTGATTTTTGTGATAAGCCAATTTGGTTATTTTTCCCTCCTGATTAAATCTTTCCAATAGTGTCCCAAAAAATTCCAACTCCTTTACTCTAGCAAAACAGGCTGTAAATAATCTGTCTCTTGCCTTTTTAAAAAACTTCTTCTACTATTTCTCACATTGGCCACAGTAAAACGAAATTTATTCTGTTTTTCAAATAGAACCTTTTCTTTGAACTAAGTGTTCTTGCTGCCTGTAATGTTCTTCCCACTGATTTTTGCATACTGGCTCCTGTTTTTCATAAGGTCTGAACTATTTACTTTCTAATATAACTCACCTTTAAATCTCTGTACACCATAGCCCAGTTTGAGATCAATTGACCTATCTACACTTTACTTATTTATCACCTATCTATCATTTATATATATATGTGTGTATGTTTGTGTGTGTGTGTGTGTGTGTGTGTGTGTCTATTCATCCATTTCCTCTCACAATTACAATTTATCTCCATGAGAGCAGAGACTTGTGTGTCTTGCTCACTTCTGAATTGTTAGTACCTAGAATAGTGTCTGGTGTGTATAGAAGGTACTCAGTAGGTAACTTTTGAATAACTAAATTCATACATAAATGAGAAAAACAATTTTAAGAAAGATACACTTAAATTTATAATTCTAACCTTCCATAAAATCTTGACCACATAGTTCTTTCACTAGTAACTATTTTCAAAAGTCTAAAGAAGTTAAGTTTCAGGTTTTATTAGCGATTTTCTCTGGATTTCACAGTATTATTGCACCATCAACTGTGAAATGTAAGAAATAGCTCAAAAGTATGCATATAGTAAGATTATCATGTTATCCCAGAATTGTATTTTCTCTAAATATCTAGTCTTTACATATACACATTATGATCATTTAAATCATAGTGATTTAAGAATAATTAATTCATGATATAAAATTCATTTTACTGTTTTTTTAATAGGAAAGTGATCTGTTCTGGGCACCGCTGTTCGGTAGAAAAGAAAGCAATCAATAAAAGTTTCTTACTAAAAAACATGAAAAATACTGAAAAATTCTAATGAAGAAATGCTGTCAATCTGGACTAAGATCAGAGACACTCAGAAATATTATTAATACAAAGAGACAGCCTATCATGTATGTTCTGCAGCCAAACTCTCAGGATTGTCTGAGGAACACATAAACAACTGAAACTGTTTTCTTTGACATGTGACAATTTTCTACTCAAAGAAAGACTGTTCAGATCGATTTCTCTGTTTGCTGCCAGTTACTCAATTTCCCTAAATTTGTACAAAAAAAAATATACTATATCTAGTTCGATTGGTTTTCTCCACCCTCAATGTAAAGCCTATTTTTGCCTGTTTCTTGAATCAGTCTACCATTAACAAGTTCTTCTATGAGAATCAGTTTCCTTGCAAAACAGTTAACCAAATATTTTTTACTCATACCTCAAAAAGATTTAAGATGTCCTTTAGTGTCTAGCAAACAACATTCCTTTATAATTGACATGTTAGGAAAGAAATAAAGGCAAATGGATGAATGAATGGATAGATGGTTGGATAAATAAATCAAATGAAGGTGTATGCCATTTGTTACTCTTTGTTAATTTTGCTTTAATTTTTCTCTCTACAGCACCTCCTTCTCCTTCCCACATATGGCGCCACACAGCCTTGTCCCTGACTCTTCTCTGCCTTCTGCTGCTCGTTGGATTGGGAGTCTTAGGAAGCAAGTGTATGCACTAATTTTGTTTTGATTGAAAGGGAAAGCACCTAGAATTTCGAGAACTTTACAACCAAAATTTATTCTTCAAATTGAAGCATTGCAATAATGATAAGTGACGTGCCCACAAAGGGCACTTACTTTGTGGTACTTAGTCTCTTTCCCACACTCCTGTAGAGTAACTGCTTCCCTAGCCCTTTAGCTTCCTTAATACAACTTCTGAAAAAGATAAAGAGTGATGACTCCATCACCCTTTAAAATTCTTTTTTTTTTAAATTTTTTTTTAATTCTTTTTTTTTTGATCTGTAGTTTACAGAAGTTTGAAGATAGAAATGGAAAAATTGGATAAACTACAAAATATCAATGAAGAACTTCAGAGAAATATTTCTCTACAACTGATGAATAACATAAGTAGCTCCAACAAGATCAGGAACTTCTCCATCACACTGCAAAAAATAGCCACTAAATTATGTTATGAGCTATATAGAAAAAATCCAGGTAACCATGTATTGCTCTTGGAGTTATTTACTAGACAATGAACTAAACTATAGAGTCCCTTAAGAATCATTTCATTATTAGCTAGCAACCTTTCCCTGGGAAGCATTTATTTGGGGGAAGGAATTAAATGTGGTTGACAGAAAACTCATTGCTATTTCCATGTAGTTAGAAGAAAAGCAAAAAATAAGTAATAATAATTACAGGCCCCGAAATTATCAGGGAATGACAGTTACACAATAAAACACAATATAGTTTCTCTGTCATTTACTACTGTTGTTCTGGGCTCTGATGTCAATAGAAGATAGAGAGGAAATGACACCTCTTTATAGGTGACCTCATTCCTAAATTTTAGGCAATAATTGATGACAAAGAGTCCATAGAAAACAAATAAACCGAGATGTTACTTTTGGGATTTGGGGGAGGTGGTCTTATCTCTATAAATTTCTGTACTTACTGTAGCTAAAATGTGTTTCTTGTGCTCCTGAGAAGCCTCTCAAATATTCAATAAGTCAGAGAGCTAGAGGTTGGAGAAGGCAGGATTGGTATAGGTGTGTGGGGTTGATTGTTCCTGTACATAATGTTTCCCACGATTCATTTTTATTGCTATTAAAGAATACAAAAACTGGCCAGACGCGGTGGCTCACGCCTGTAATCCTAGCACTCTGGGAGGCCGAGACGGGTGGATCACTCAAGGTCAGGAGTTTGAGACCAGCCTGAGCAAGAGCGAGACCCCGTCTCTACTAAAAATAGAAAGAAATTGGCCAAACTAAAAATAGAAAAAATTAGCCGGGCATGGTTGTACATGCCTGTAGTCCCAGCTACTCGGGAGGCTGAGGGAGTAGGATTGTTTGAGCCCAGGAAGTTTGAGGTTGCTGTGAGCTAGGCTGACACTGCAGCACTCTAGCCCAGGCAACAGAATGAGACTCT